GAGCTGTCCTCTCCTCAGGCCACCTCAGCTCCTGGAAAGCCATCCCCATCTGACCACAGGGGCAAACGGGCCAGCACCACTTTGAAGACTGAAACACAAACTGTCACTTCCACACAAACCAACCAACCTGCTTGAGCGGCAGGTTTGGCACACAGCTCGGCACCGACCCTGCCAACCACGGCCGAAACAAGGATCCTCCCACCTAAACCTGCCCTCGGGCCTGGGAAGCTGCCCAGCTCGCGTCACGCCGTCCAGCTGCTGCTCTCTGTCCCCACGCGTCCCTTGTGCTGTGGCCAAAGCCCCAGCTCCCAGACAGGGCAAGGAACCTGGACCCAAGGGGGAGAGCAGCTGGAGTGGCTGCACCCCCCAACATGCTGGCAAGGTCTGGCCATGAACACAGCACAAGTCACGACTGAAAGGGCCTAAATTCTGTGCTCAAGCCCAAAACCCAAAGCCCCCCAGCCCCTCCTGCCACACCTGGAGCCGGGGGACTTCCACCAGCTCCACCGGTGGAGAAGTGCTGCTGGTGTGCGAGGGGGGCCTGGAGGCCACGCGGCAGAAGAGGGGCCGCTGCAGAGCAGGGCCAGGGAGCCGGGTGCGCAGCGTCACCCACCCGTGCTGTTCCGCTCCCGACTTCCCCGCGATGCTCTTAGCTGGCGACCGGCTGAACTCTGGGCAAGGAAACACCAGGCAACGAGGGATCTCCGTCCACCGCCCCCCCCGGCCCTGTGAGCGTGAGTGCTGCAGGCTGGGTGGGTGATGCCCTGGTCCGGGACGGATCCAGCTAGGGGAGCGCTCACCATGCTCCACAGAGCACGCCTCCTCCTTGCACTGAAATACCACAAGCGGGCTACAAAACAGGAGTAACAAAATAATCCCTTCTTATTTTGCAGAAAAGTGCCTAAGAAATTCTGTACAAGGATCACTACGGCAGCTGGCTCCGGGGAGGGACGCAAACAGTTTGGAAGAAGCAGCAGCACCACGCTACATGGCTTGCAGGGAAGAGGCCAAGGAGAAACTTCTCCAACTGAAAGTAGTGGCAGAAGGTGAAATCTGATCACAGCGGACATGAGCTTCAAAACATTTCTACAATTAACAATGTGATTTCGACTGGTATCTGATGTCAGCTTCCCCTTCGGCTGCCTGCTGGACAAGCTGCTCTCCCCACGGACCCTGCTGACGGACATCTGAAGCACGCAGGAAGCTCAAGGACCTTGTCTGGTGGAGGCAAAGCACAAACTCTCGCTTCTTGGCAGCAGAATAAAAGGAGAAATGATTTCCACAAACTCAGTTGGAAGAACAGCCCTTTGACCGCTGGCTGAATCATTTCTCGAAGTGACAGTGGCACAAATCCATGCGGTAAAAGCATTCCTAAGAGAGTCTCCAAACCTCTCGGCTGTCACGGTGCCCAGGAACAGCACAGGCCAGGTTAGGCACTTGGATGAATTCAAAGTGACTAATACAGAAACAGGTCTGAACGACCTGCATACAGCACACTCAGCAGAGACCACAGCACTCCAGGCAAAGCATTTCTATGTGCCCTGCCAGTTACTGCTGCTCAGGTCCCTGGAAGGCAAGTGTTACTCTGCTGTCACAGAATAACACAGGGTGGAAGGGACCTCTGGGGGGAGATCTCTGGTTAGATCAGGTCTTAGGCAGGTCTGGTTTGATCGAACCCTTCCTCTTCCCTAAACACCAGACAGCAGCGTCCACAGCACAGCCCCTTCTGCAGCCTCCTGCACGTCAGTGTTGAAGGCCCGGGACGTGAGGAGCACCCGCACCCGCCACAAGATGAAGGACGGCAGAGCCAACCACCAACAGGCCGCGGACACCCCATCTGCCAGCACCAGATTCCCTGGGAACAGCCGACAGGCAGCAGTTGCCAACATTGGCACCAGGGGCTGTAAAGACCCTCTGTGAATAACAAGCTGCAATTCTTCCAGCCAAGTTCCCAAATCACCTACGAGGGAGAAGAGGAAACATCAGGAGGGCAGAGAACCGAGCTCCAGCACCGAGCTCCAGCACCGCCCAGTAGCTGAGGGGCCCTGAGCTCTGTTAGAGATGTGCAGAAGAGTTGACAGAGACCGGACTGATGACGGGCAAGTCCCTGAGCACAGAACTATGGGCTGCTCGCTTCCCTTGCAGGAGCCTCAGCGACACAGACGCATTTCCAACGCTTGCCTCTCCCTGTGGAGCAGAAGAGACCTCTTGCTGGTGGCCTGGGAAAGACACCGGGCGAGCCGTCGCCACCAAGCATTCGCAGAACTCAGCTCAGCGCCTGGAAAAGCACGGCAGCACTAAGGCAGTATGTTCTGCTGGATGTGTTAAGCAACAGTCCACGCCAAGTCCTTGACTGGCAAAGACCCAAGCTGTGAAAGACAAGAGGTGATGGAGAAGAGTGAGGAGGCAGGCAGCAGTGCAGCTGGGGGGAAGAAACACAGCGAAGAGGAGGGATGTGGCCCGATAAGCTGGCCTCAGGTGCTCAGCTTCCTGCTCAGGCTGGAGAAGAAGCAACGTCAACTCGAATTCAGCCTTGTTAATGCACGGTTGTTTTTCCTACCGGAGGCCAAGCACTCAGCTGGGATGTCTGCACCGCACGAAGAGGCTCCGGAGACAGCTCTCGGTGCCCTTATATGGGGCTGGGAACAGGGGAAGCCACCGAGCAGCCTGTCAGACAGCGATACCGCAGGCAGGAGTTCAGAGCCCTCCTCGGGAAACAGCCAAAAAGAGAAACTCCAGTGCAAGACTTCAAGACCTGGCATTTGAGAGCGTGGGAATGAGAAAAGTCGGAAGGATGGGAACAAAAGGGACAAAGCAATTTTTGGCTGGTTAACAGTGATGGATGGTCCCTGTTCATCCAGCATCATGTCAGGACAGGGAACTCTCTGCCAGGGCATTTTAAAACACAGAAGCAGAAGAAAATATTTCCTCCTCCTCTGCAGCCAACCAGCGGCATTCACAGGTCAGTCTCAAACACTGCAAGTTATGATCTCCGACAGCAGCTCAGATATGCACAGCAAAACCACGCAGAGCCCAAGCGTGCGATTCAGAGCCTGCAATCATCCCCCGAGGGAGAACCTCCACCCTGCCCTACCCGGGCGAGGGGGGAGAACCCTGGCTGTGCCTCGGGACACCCAGCTCACTCCCCTATGAACCTGCTCTCTCCTCTCCGCGCCGCAGTTTTCCTCTCTGAGCCGAGGATCAGATGCTGACCCCTTTTACAAAGCGCTGAAATCCAGCCAGGTGCTAGGGAGGGGCTGAAATGTAAGGAGCTGGGGCTGGGGCTTCCCAGGGGAGCTGATCCCTTCAGCCAATGTCCACAGAGATTACTAGGTCAGACAACTGGTACTTTGAGCTGGTGAGAGAATGAGTGGATTACCAGCCCACCGCTGCAGAGATCTGAACGTACGGCGGTGTAGAGCCAAGCCCACGCCTGGCTGGACACTGCTCCCTCTCCCCAAGCTGCCAGGTTCTGCTTTTGCAATATCCCAACGGAGATCATCGAAGACCGTCCCTCCCAGGCGGCAGCTGCAGCACCGACCGCTCCAACGCAGCATTTCTCCTGGAGCTCGCAGATCCCTCCCTGCGGAGAGCGGACCCGACCTCCGCCAGCGCGCAGCCTGCCTTCCCAGCGCAGGATGGCTAACGCAGCCGTCTGCAGCGGTTCCGCAGTGCCTCCTGGGGACCGGCAGAGCCTGCGCTCCGGGAGCTTTTCACACCTGCCACGCACCTTCTCGCAACATCCCAAACGGCACAGCAAAGCTGTCACCCATCACAACACGGTGCTGATCTCCCCTCCCACTGCTTCACCCCCACAAACTGACAGAAAGAAACTCTCTATGTGTAAGTGCTGGCATATATCCTCTCAACCCCTCCGCTTTTCTGCTTTAGTTCGGCCTCAAATACCCCACTGAGCTCTGGGACCGGCAAGATGTATCTAATACATTCAAATACAGCTTGTGTCATCTCTACCGGCACCTAGAACCTGCTCCTGAAGCATCCAGCAACAGCAGAGCAGTTACGTGGTAGGCAGGACACTTTATGCAGTTCCTATGAACAACTCCAGCCCTTCTGCTCTAACAGTCACGGTTCACGTTCTGCGTTTGCACCTGGGGTACAGGAGAGCGGAGCAACACTGGGGGCTGAGGAGAAGTCGCTCTTTGGAGGCAAAGCCCTACAACGAGTTCAGAGCTTCTGCTACCAACAAAGGGAGGAGGCACCTAGAGACGTCAGGCAACAGCCCTGTAACACTCCCCCACTCTTATGCAGAGGTAATACCGAAAATATGATTAAAACTATAGTCAACTATCAGCTGGTAATTTTCCAAATTGCTTGGCATTTCTCGAGACAAACAAGTGGCTATAACTCTGCCTGCCTCTGAGCTGCTCGAGAGAGCCCAGAACAGACTGTCACAACACTGCATCACAAAGAAATCCTGGCACCTTTCAACAAAAGACTGGCTGAAGGGGAGGGGGAACAAAAGCTATCGAACCCAATCCCAGAGGGATGGAGGAAGTGCATCTTCCCACAGTTCCTAAGCGATATGCACATATATGGATATATAGATATATAGATAATAAAGTTATAAAATTTGATCAAAATAAAACCAGTAAATGTACAGCTTGAAAAAGAGCAATATCACAGTGCATCAATGTCATGAGAAAGTCCCGTGTTCTCCCCCTGCACGAGAGTGCAGCCTGCCACCTTCGGGAGCGACCGTAGAGCGCCCGTGGGAAGCGAGCCCTCCGACCTGCTCGGCTCCCCACGGGCAAGAGTCACCGTCCCGCGTTCCCGAACGGGGTTTTGTATTTCCGCAGTCAGTTCTGCATAGCAGTGGTAGACAGGCAGAAACAGCGCGAGAGCCTGCTGCTCCGTCTGCGGGTTAGTCGACATAGCGTCACCAGGCACCAGAGATCCAGAGTCGCTCTTAAACTTCTCCACGCTCTGGTGCCGGGCTCATATTTACTTACTTACAAAAAAAAGTGACAAAGTGAAGAAACTCAGGGAACACTGTGAGAGTGGGCCAGGGGCTGAATTCGGATCACGGGGGACAGGTTGACCCTAAGAATCTTCTGCGCTCTCCTCCTCACTTCATCATCATCAGAAGAGTTGCCCACCTTGATGGCCCGGAATTTCAGCAGGTTCAAAGTGCTCTGAGCCCGTCGAGATTTATTTCGGGCAGGAATAGTACTTGCTTTCTTTCTCTGCGGTGCTTCTCTTGCCTCTGTAGCTCTTCTCCTCTTCTGCCCAACGCTCTCCCGGTAAGTGCTGCTGTCCTTCCATTCCGTTTTTCCCACCAGAGGTTCCTTATTTTTGATTTTCAACGTTCTGGACTGCGGTGCTGTGGTGCAGTCCTGGGACGAGCTGCCTGCCACTCTCCCGTTGAGGACTCCGGAGGCTTTGCAGGCATTGCTCTCCTGCAGCACTCCACCCTTTGGTCCCTTCAGAAGATTTAAAGCGAGGGTGGCAGAATCTGGTGCTTTCTTTATCAAACGCTTGTACCCCTTACCTTCTGTTATTTTAGTGGTCTTGCCTGCAGAAAACTGCCTCGGCGGACTGGAAGCCTTGAGGAGTTTAAGGTCCGAGGGTGAGATCCCAAGACGCCCTCGTGTGTACTTGGACTCCAAACAGGATGCAGTAGTTTTCAGCGGCACCAGAGCTTCCAGAACCACCGACAGTCTCATGGCTGGATACACGTCAGGATACATGCTTGTAGGGAAGCCCACAGCCGTGGCCTTGGACGTGCCGGATCTTGTCTGCTTCAAGGAGCTCAAGAGGAGATTTGTGGAATCCCCTTTAGAGACGGGCTGAGCGGAGACTTTCGAAGAGTTCACTGAAACGCTGGTGGGCGAAGCAGACACCTTTGCCACGGCCGCGGTGTTTCGAGCCGGACTCTTCGCGGACTCGGCGGCGGCGGCGCAGCTGTGCGGGGTGCTCTCTTTTGTTTGGTTAGGTGTGTCTGCCGTGCACGAGCTGTACCCATACACATCCTTACTCCTCAGAATGGTGGGCTGATAGCCCTCCTCCTTCAGGCCCTGAATGAAGGCCACCAGCTGGGTCTCTGTGTCCAAAAGGTCCTTGGACATCGGGTTGAAGACTCGGAGGGCTTCCTCCAGCACTTTCTGTCCTGCAGAGGAAATTCTCGACCAGGAATGGACCGCTTTTTCTTCCACATTGTTCACTGCAATATTCATGGCATTAGGCAAGCGGGCACTTCAAAAAGGTCCAAATTACTGGAAAAACAACCCTTGACACCTCAAAAGGAGAGAGAAGATAGTTAGCTCACAGCAACTGAAATCATCTTGCATTTTTAAGCGGGGACCTGAAACCATTAAGCCCAGGCATGGCTACTCGCAAACATTGGGTCGGATTCTGGGCATAACCCAAGTTAGAAGCATCATCCAGACAATCCCGCCGCTGATTTATCTCTGCAGTCAAACTAAAACATTTCTCGCAGAAATATCCTCAAACCTAAACAAAGATTCCAGGCAATCCCATCCAACCCATCCCAAGAGGAAGGGTTCCAATGGTTAACTCAGTGAAATCTGCAGCTCGTTTCCAGTTGGAGTTTGATATGCCCCAGCTTCGGGTAACCAGATCTCATTTTCCCTTGGGAAAGCAGCCCTTCATCGAACCCTCTCCCTGCGCACGCACCGAGAACACCGCGATCGAGCCATCTCAACGCTAAGCAGCCCGAGCACCTCAAATCTATCCCAGCATCACTTTCCGTTTTCCAGCTTCCTAATTGATTCTGCTCAAAAATTGATTCTGAGTCCCTGCCAAAGTTGCAGCATCCTCCCAAAGACCCGAGAGCAGAGCTGGAGGCTATTTCGGTTGTGCTTCGCTGACGCTGAACGCTGTGGCAAGGGAACACCGCTCCTTGCTGTTCCCTTGTTTGAACAACGGTCTGCAATTTGCTGTCACAGCAAACTGGTGTTGATCCAAGGGCTCTCGCTGCCAAGTGAGGAGGAAGCAGGAAATTCAAACAGGGCGGCATGAAGGAAACGCACATCATCGGGGCCAAGCGTAGGGCGGCCTGAGGGACAACGCGAGGATCATGCTAAAGGCACTACACAGCTGTCTGCCCGGGACAAAAGCATTAATTATTGCTTTAAATTAAAAAACATAAACGGGCACCGAAGAGCAGTCCAGGCAGGACTTTGTGATGCATCCGGGAGAACTCCGATCCTCTCACGCTGAGCTGGCGACCTCACCAGCTCTGCAGCTGCATGCTGCGCTGAGAAGTTATAAAATCTTTAGCTTCATTGATAACTCTCAAAATAAGGAGGATTCAGTGAAAAATCCTTTTCAGGGGAATGTGGAAGGTGTCAGAGACACTACCGGAGAGGGCAGTGTGCAGGCAAGAAAGCTCTGATGGAAAAGTTAGCGCCTGAGCAGACAGAGCAAGGAACTACTCGTGTCCGATGTTCCTCCCAGAACTCCGGTATCACCGCAACCCCGGAGCCCGGGGGTGCCAGCCCCGGACCGGCGCCCCGTGCCGCCACTGGCTGCACAAGCAGGGAAGAGACGCAGCCAACAGCAGGCACGGCAGGGGAAGCACAGGTCAGCGGGGGGGGGGTAAGAGCCTCCGCGTGACAGACTAATCTCAGTCAAGTGTTCTGCGGACGTCAGGGCAGAAGAGGGATTTGGAGGAGGATAATGCAGTTGCTCTGCGACACGCGGGGGATCTCCCACGGAGGAGGGGAGGCAGGGAAGCGCTCCGACAGAGCCACGGCCGGCGTCATCGGCCAGCGGTGAGATTTGCCGCCCCCCAAGGGACCCAGCGGTAAAGGGGG